ATAGCGAAGTTGGTAACTTCCATCCGTTGCGGACAAATCGTGAGCAAATGCAGTAGCACCACAAGTGTCATGTTGGGCAAAAGTAAGCTCACCAAAGACACGGTCACCAGGACGTTTCGCACGCAAAGTGCGGTAAGAACGGTCACTAAACCGCATCCAACTATCTCTGCCGAGGAGCACGTCATAATGCATGACGCCGTCGGGAACAACGTATGCCCAAACAGCAAGAGAGAAAGTAGGAAGGTTCTTACGGTGAAACTGAACACTCAAACGGACAACAGTCGAAGTTTGAAGCGGCGCAGATTTCCCAAAACCACCCCAACAACGAGGTTGGGTGTGTTTCTCAGACAACGTTGAAGCAGCCGAAGCCGCTTTCATGGCATCCCATGCAGAAGCACTAATTAAAAGACTGCGGAGAACCCGTATCCAAAAGAGCGATACACCCAAACTGCACAGAGGCCGAACCGCTGTGGAGGAGGATTCTGGTGGTGAAAGAGTCGTCATCGATGGTGACAACACCACCAACCAAATNACCCCAACAACGAGGTTGGGTGTGTTTCTCAGACAACGTTGAAGCAGCCGAAGCCGCTTTCATGGCATCCCATGCAGAAGCACTAATTAAAAGACTGCGGAGAACCCGTATCCAAAAGAGCGATACACCCAAACTGCACAGAGGCCGAACCGCTGTGGAGGAGGATTCTGGTGGTGAATGAGTCGTCATCGATCGTGACAAGACCACCAACCAAATCCGGACCTTGCTCTGGGAGCGAGGAGGAGGACGACGGGATGTATTCTGAAGACACGGCCCAAACGGCGGTGTCGTGATCCAACGGGACATTCGGAGCGTATTGCGAAAATGACGCGAACCGGTCGGTCGACGGAGGGCACGAAGCCGTCCGAAGGCGCTGGTGTGTGGAAGGGTAAACTTCATACACCGCAGAATGAAGGGACGTCGTCGGAACGTGGTCGGTCGGAGGCAGCAAATAAGAGCTGCACTCGGAAGGCGGGGTACGGTGTCGTAAAAGACTGCGTACGTTCTGTAGGGCGGTGCCTAACAGGTTGAGGCCGCGGCATCTAGATGTGCATCCAGCGTCAGGATTATTGGCCTGGAGGCCAATGCCCCAAACACGGTCGTAAGGACTGGCTTCGGCAAGGGTTTTGTCACCAGATCCGAGGAGATGATTTCGTTACTCGGAATTTTGGCTCAATTTTGCGTAAGAGCCAGTGAGCACAATGTTTTCGCGTTCTTGTTCCCAAAGAGATTGGTCGAAACCACGGGCCTCACGGCCAAACTCTTTGTGTAAGGCAGGGTCTGACACACGCATGATGTTCTGCAAAGCACAGCGTGTCCGAAAAGACGGGCTTTTCCGCAGCGAAACATTGTTCGGCACACGAGTAAACAACGCCATCGACCGTGAAGGTCGACGGAGTCCATTGGGAAAAAGGGGAGGGCGGCTTCCAAAAGAAAACCATGTCTGGAGTACAATACTCGGTAGACGGGTCGAAAACGGCCGGAGCAACAGAGGCCGGAGCGCCCTGAGTGCTGTTAGCCGAAGCTGGAGTCGCAGCCGAAGATGCGGAGTCATGATGGACAGTATGCACATCCATGGGGGTGGTCCGTTAACAGCAGGAACCGACGAAGAATCGACTTGAGTCGGATGGTTCGCAATAATTGGGCCAACAACACTGGGCTGGGTGCCCCCCAATTCTAAACCTGAAGAAACGCCTCGTAAGATGTTCGGCAACAGGTCGCTTTCGCTGGGAACGGCCGCCAAAGCCGGGTTAGTTGAAGAACTGAACCGAGCATGGCGCTCCTGGCTATTCCCCCGTGACATGGTACGCGAGACCGCCGGTTGTTCGGGGGTCACTTCGGGGGCGTCCTCCCGAAGCGGTGGTGTCAACACTGTCGACGTCGGTCGCAGCAGCCTAGAAGTGGATGCCGTTGTGCGAGCGTGCGTCGGAGAAGGTGGGGCTTGTAAAGACGACCCACGGTCGAAATGTCGCGTGGCGGAATCTGAGCATGTCCTGTGGTCGGATTCAGGGGGACAAGGCGATTCGAAGCCAGACGAATTTGACCCTAAAACTTGCNCGCCAAAGCCGGGTTAGTTGAAGAACTGAACCGAGCATGGCCCTCCTGGCTATTCCCCCGTGACATGGTACGCGAGACCGCCGGTTGTTCGGGGGTCACTTCGGGGGCGTCCTCCCGAAGCGGTGGTGTCAACACTGTCGACGTCGGTCGCAGCAGCCTAGAAGTGGATGCCGTTGTGCGAGCGTGCGTCGGAGAAGGTGGGGCTTGTAAAGACGACCCACGGTCGAAATGTCGCGTGGCGGAATCTGAGCATGTCCTGTGGTCGGATTCAGGGGGACAAGGCGATTCGAAGCCAGACGAATTTGACCCTAAAACTTGCCGGTTTGAACCAGTCAAGTTAGCTACCGGTGCAACAGTCGAAGGCGGACCCTCAACGGAAGCGAGCATAGACGAATTGAACGTATCCGAAGAAGCACCTGAGGCAATCATTTCGGGCAATTCTTCATCAATCGTCCAAAGGTCATGGCTACTGCCGATCCTATCTGCAGACGACGGGGGGAGCAAACGAGAGGTGCTCGACGAACGAGGAGAACTCTTTGGCCCCGAAGGTCCAACGGGTCTGTTCCCACACCTCAAGACAGCACTCACGTCAGACTGATGAGTTTCCGACGAAGCAGCAATCCGACGAGGCGAGGGTGCAGAGGTTGCAGACGATAAATGCGATGGCGAAGGTGGGATGTGAGCATTTGGCTGAAGACCGACCTGATCGACACTTGAAGAAACAGCGTGTACCTGAGTACCGCTGTCATTGGATAGCACCGGAGTGCGAGAGCGCGTAGGGAGAACATTTACCGAAGTATTGTTGTCGTTGCTTAAGACCGGAGTGCTAGAGGCAACAGAGCGCGTAGGGAGAACATGTACCGAAGTATTGTTGTCGTTGCTTAAGACCGGAGTGCTAGAGGCAACAGAGCGCGTAGGGAGAACATTTGCCGAAGTATTGTTGTCGTTGCTTCAGACCGGGGTGCTAGAGGCAACTGAGGGTGATACACGCGCGGCTTGTGTTGACCGAGACGAAGTTCCCAAAGATGCTGGAGGCGGTCCGAGGGAAGGAGGCGAACCACCGTCGGGGAGTCATCCGGTACGTGAACGGCCGCCATTGTGGAAGTTACCAGGCTGGCGTGCGTTGTGATTGGTCGAAACCATGACGCCAGACGAGGGACCAGTTTGAGCATGCGATTGGGGTTGATAGACGGACAGAGCACCAGGGTGGTGGGTGTTGCCAGACGTCTGTTGTGTATGATGATGGTTACCCGCGGAATGTCCCGCGGTTTGACCACCGTGGTGTGATTGTTGGTGGTGATTGTGAGAGGAACTACCACCGTCGGAACGGCGAGGCCCAGCGTGGTTTCTACGCTGAGAGGAGGAGGAAGAAGACTGCCGATGGCGTCTACCCTGATTGTTATTGCGGCCATCTGAACCCTTACGCCTGAAGGATCGCATGCAACCTTGCCAACGCCTAAAGGCAGCAGAGTCGTCATTGAAGTGACCCAACTCGGGATTCAACAACCCACTAGAATTCGGGAAGGGAGAAGCACATTGCTTCATGGAATGATCATCACCCGAGCAGTTCAGACAGCGGTTTCTGTTTTCGCGGAAGGCTTGCGATTGAGCCTCTTGTTTCAACAAAGGTGTCCATAAAAAAGGATCATCGGTGTTACGAAATTAGCGGTGAGGGCGTATACATCAGACCAGTCGGCTTGCGAAGCAGGCCACGAGTTGTAGTTGTGCGT